GCTGGCTTTAGTAAAGAGTTATGTATGATTTATAATTAGTCCATTGTTTATGGGTTTCTAAAATGCCTGAGAATATTTTATTTTACTGAGTCAATGGGATGACTAGCCTTTCGATTTTTTTTTCTACTATCAGTTTTCTGGTAAGACCCTCTTTTGCACTGATGAGAGAAAAGGTAAGCTTCAATCCAGTCCCTGTCCAAATGATGAAAAATTCTGAATTAGGAAATTCAGTGAATGAAGAGTCACTGTAGCTATAGTGTCTGTTCTACTCAGAATGACCTAACCCAAGCAGAGTTTGTAAAATGAACACAAACCCTGTATAGGAGCAGCTGGGGGGTTTGAACTGTCAACCTTGTGGCTCACAGTCCAGTGCTGAGCCTACAGTGCCACACCAAGAATCCAACAAACTAGACATGCTATATAAAGTTAATTGCCCTCTGACCAACAATGGCAATACAAGAAATTCTATGGAAATGAGTCTAACATTTTAAGTTGTCATTTCAAACCACTGTCCTCTATCCCTAGGACTCCTCACGTTCTGTATAGACTAGACTAGAATTCTAAAAAAGACTCATAGCCAACATGTACCAAGTACTTGGTACATGCTATACACTGTGCTTAACTTTTACAATTATTATATCAAGCTGATCCTTACAACAACGCTATGTAATGGGTATTGTATTCCCCATTTGATAGATGTGGAAAATGAGAGCCCAAGAGTTGAAATGATTCATCCTGGATCATATAGATTATACATTCTTTGTTGTTAACTAACCAGTGCTCTAAATACCGACATGTAGTCAGGCACTTGGGAGTCTTACAGCACAGGCCAATATTAGTAGTACTTGTTATTTAGATCATGATGTTGAAATGACTGTCAGTTGAAATCTGCCATCAAAATATTTGGTATCACTATGACTCCCAGAGGACTAGCAACTGTGCAATTATCATGAGCCTTGCCTTATTTCTTTGTAAAATGAGACTGTCATTTTAGGTAGCATAGTGTTATGTGGAAGTATCTAGTCTCATGCCTGCAAATTATCTATACATGTTTCCAAATCCTTTTGGTTACCCTACCAGGAACTGGCTGTCCATTTTTATCCAGGTCATACATACTATGGGTGCTATATTCATAAATTCATTTTATTAGAAAACGATGGGGTTCCCCTTGTTGATCTTGTTGTTCGGTGCTGTCGAGTTGGTTCAGACTCATAGTGACCTACGTACAACAGAATAGAACTCCTGCTGCTCCTGCGCCATCCTCACAATTGTGACAACATTTGAGCCCACTGCTGCTGCCACTGTGTCAATCCATCTCCTTGAGGGTCTTCCTTTCTTTCACTGATTGTCCACTTTACCAAGTACAATGTCCTTCTCCAGGCACTGGTCCCTCCTCATAACATGTCCTAAGTACGAGAGGCCTTTTGTAGCAGATTTGCCTAATGCAATATATCATTTGATTTCTTGATTGTTGCTTCCATGAGTGTTTCCCCTAAATGACCTATTTTCCCTTGTCCAAGTCCTCTTGCAATCAAAGGCATACATTCAAAAATGCAGAGGTTTAATAGTGATGACTTGATCATGGAGAGCAGAAACCAGTATCCTTGATCTTCATCGCCACCAACTGAGCCAACTGGCATAGCCCCTAACTGGTTGGCAAAGCCAGGAGCAGTGAATAGCAGTCCTTCACGGCAATTTAACTTTCCTCTTAAGCTAGGTTTGCCTCTCTAAGCTAACTAGTTTTATTATTTTTATTATTATTATTATTCCTGTACAGGGAACAGGTCCCAAAGTAAAATCAGTTAATATTTGTTTTGTCCATATCTGACACCCTGAGCTTGGTTGTCACTAGGGTGCCACAGCTTGCAATTCAGAACAATAAAAGAACTGTTAATCGCAACAAATCAAAAATAAAGAAAGAACCACATCCAGTGTGACTGTCATTTGCACTTCTTTGTAACAGTCTAGACATACTGTATAGAGTGTTATCCAATGTGATAATTGGTAAGTAGATCTTTTCCCATGTATTTGGCTCACCTACAAATTATACTTTGGGGGTTCATGCCATTATTGGTCTGCTTGCCTTCAGCCTTTCTAGATTCAACGGAAAAGCCTGATTGTTCTCTCAGCAAACAGGGGTCTTAAGAGGGTCAGCCCTGTGTAACAAGCAATTATTAAACACAAAACATTAGCTTGGACTTTATATCACCGAACTAGATAAGAATTTAAGTCCCATTTTTAAATTGGTTCTCTGTTAAGTTTGGGGGCACAGTTTTGAGAACATTTTAGCATGCGTATTTAGTTAAAGAACATTTCTTTTCTAATATAAGGTGGAATTGTTTGGTTGACAGGTTGAAACATGTGAATGCCCAATTTGATTGTTACTAGTGCATTTGTTGCCAGTTGAATGTAAGAGAAAGGTCACTGCCCATTTGAAAGACAGTTTTTCATTGTTTGGTGTATTATCCACCCATCCCAGACATCAGAGCACTTCTCTTTTCCTCCCTGAGATTTTTTTCCAACTTTTCAGTGCATCCAGATGTTTAATTAGAAGAGTAAAGAGATAATGTGCTTAAAAGAGGCTCCGAACAATGTATTAGAGAGAGAAGTAACAGCAGCAGCTAAAATCGATAGAAAATCTCTTAATATAATTTGCTGAATAAGGGACAAAAAGAGTAGCAGAAAAGAACTTACTAAAATGAGTCCACACTTAAAAGTTAGGCATCAATGGAAAAGAAATATGTATACAGAGAAATAGAAGTCAGGGGCAAAACTACACTGAACAAGAGGGAAGGCAAGAAAGAAGCAAACTGCATTTTAAATCAAAGTAGTGTCTGTGGTATAGGGAATTTGAAAGGACCCCATGTGGGGAAAAATATTTCCTGGGTGCCCTAGGGCTGCTGTTCCTAATGCTTACTCTCTCAGTGTTCCTGGCTTTCATTGCCCCCAGCTGTGGTACATCCCTCACTAACTCAACAGGCACAGCCACGCTGGGGAGAAAGAGCAAGCAAAAGAGCCGAATGAAACCAGTGCCAGTAACTTTCATCAGCAACCCCATTCTACTGAAAGCCAAGATTAGCATCTTTATATTCACCCTTGTTAAATGGCTAAATTAAAGGCACTTGCCTGCTTTAAGGGACTTGAAAAGACTTTGATTGTGTGTGTGTGTGTGTGTGTGTGTGCACTTATTTGGTGTAAAATAAAGTGTCCATATGCTCAGTGAATCACTCCAACCTCTTCTATTGGCATGTAACTCTCCTAGAGCATTTATTTCATTTTAACTACTACAAGAGTCAGCTGTTTACACACCTATTTCATCTACTAAGCTCTGAGCTGAAAACAAGGGAAGGATCTTTTGCTTTAGTTTTTAGTTTTTTATTGTGAATTGGGTTGAAGGTTTACAGAGCCGATCAGTTTTACGTTCAACAAATTGTACACTTCATTTCATCTCAATGTAACATCACTTATCCCATTTCCTCCCTAGTTCTTGTTTTCATTCCTCCTTCCTTCCAAACCCTTCTGAACTTTTTCCTTGGGTAAATGCTGCCCTTTTGATTTCTAATGCATTGTTGTCCCCTCTGTATACCTGTTTCCTGCTTGGTTGAAAATTGAACCGTGGGATGAATTCAGTTCAGCACCTGAAAAGTGACCAAGGTCCATAGTCTCAGGGCTCCACCAGTCTCTATCCGACCAAGAAAGGGTCTTTGTTTACCTCCCCAAGGAAACATTCCCAGCTACTGCCCATATGTTCCAGCACCGATTCAGTCTTCAGTTGGCTCCCCTCTTCCTATAATCCCTGTACTCTACTTAGTTACTCCACGAAACAATGAAGTCTCTATGTGATTTTTTTTCTGGGTACACCTATGGATTCAGGAGCTGAGGGAACAAGATGAAGGTTAAGGAAGTGACAGATCATGTTCATATAACCAAACCAAACCCATTGCCATGGAGCAGAGCTGGACTCATAGGAACCCTATAGAACAGGGTAGAACTGCTACATAGGGTTTCCAAAACTGTAATCTTGGAAGTACTCTGCCACATCTTTCTCTTACAGAGTGGCTAGTTGGTTCAAATTGCTAGTCTTTTGGTTAGCAGTAGTGTGCTTTAACCATTGAGCCACCATGGTTCCTTCAGTTTATTAGTTATTACGTCAGATAATCTCTGGTATGACCAAGTCTGCTTTTATTCCCTCTATAAATCCCTAAACAAGCAGTTCTCAAACTTTAGTGTGCTAAAGAATAACCCAGATGAAGTACTTAGATGCATAATCCTGGGGTCTTGGTGCAGCACTACCAGATAAGCACTAAATTGCTGATTGCTATTTGGTGGTACTAGCCACTCTTCAGAAACCCTATACAAGGTCGCTATGAGTCAGAACCAACTCAACTGCACTTAACAAAAACAACAACATGAATAATCCTTGGTTTGGTAGAAACTGCCAATCAGCAGGTGGGGCTCAGGAATACACATATTTAATAAACTCCCCAGGATCACTGACCTACATATTTAGTTACCTTGAGATTCGCAGCCTCTCTTTTAAGAATTACCACTAGACTAGAATATTGAAAGGATTTTAAAAACACAAACAAATTCAGGTTGTGGCTATTTGTTAATTATGTATTCATGGATATAGTGGGTGTGATTAATTCAAAAGAATTATAAGAAACAATTGCTATTCTGGGAGAACAGTCTGTATGAGAAACAAAACTGTTAAAGAGTGATATTATATCCTAATGTTACTGTCAACATTAGTGTTGGAGAATTCAGAGAAGAAAAATGTGTGTACAAAAAAATGTTTTGAACTTCTCTGATACCCCATACAAACTCAGAGGGGGTGATAATTCATTTTTTTAAAAATAGGTAAATTTAACAGATTCTAAACTTAAAACATGGTCAGTTATCTTTGGCTACATTCTGGATTTTTCTCCATTTCTGCATGTTTTGAGCTATGTCAGGTGTTTATTTTGAAGTGAAATATCAAACCTGTTTTGTTTTTACAGATGGTTTGACTGACTGTGTGGACCCTGATTGTTGTCAACAAAGCAACTGTTATGTAAGTCCTCTTTGTCAGGGCTCTCCAGATCCTCTTGACCTGATTCAGCAAAGCCAGCCCCTCTTCTCTCAGCACACCTCTAGACTCTTCTATGATCGAATCAAATTCCTCATTGGCAAGGACAGTACTCACGTCATTCCTCCAGAGATTTCATTTGATAGCAGGTATATATGTATTTATTTTTTCTTTAATGAACAGTAGTTGTTTTTTCTTAACTATAAAAGAATGATGTTCTTCTAAAGATCAGGTTTCTTCCTATTCCACATGATCCATATTGATTTCTTTTTTAGGAAGAATATTTGTCTGGAAATTCCCTACCAAAGAGTTACAGGAGAAAACTCTTTTCTGGAGATTATATCATAAAATATAATAAAATATAAATGAAGGTTTTAATGACAACAAAAAGAGAGAGGAGTATAATTTGAAAACTATTGTTTAGCTTCTAGATTTGAATCCTGGAAACATTCTTGAATTTCAAAAGTTGCATTTTAAGTGTATTCCATGATGAAAAATGTTTCCATATGAAAGGGCTGTGTGAATTGGACATCCTACTGTGAAATGCAAGACGTGAAACTCTGTTTCATAGGAAGGTTTAAATGCATATATTGTCACTAAAGACCTGAGACCAAAGCCTAACACTTTAGGTGAAGACTTTTTTTTTTTTTTTTCATTAACTGATTTGAAATGTAACAACATGAGTAGCTCATTGGCATTCTCTGTTCCATCTTCAGCAATGATATATTGTACAAACTTAGAATTAAATATAGTTCTAAATTTGTAAAATACTGAAATCACCATTTCTGGACTCTTAAAAATGTCCTCCTTTGTCCATTCCACAATTTGACTTTTCACTGGCTTCCTAGACTATAGCAAACAGGAATTTTTAAAAAAAGGACAGTATCCAAAAATACCTATCTACATCCCAGCTGCCCAGTTTTATCCAGGTAGGGTACAAATGGTTAAGATTTTGACTACTAGTCAAAAGGTTGTCAGTTCATAGCCACCCAGAGGTACCTTAAAAGACAGGCCTGGTAATGTTTCCAAAGGCCACAGCCTTGAAAATCCTATGGAGCCGTTACACTCCGCTCACATGGGGTCATCATGAGTTTGAATTGACTTAAAAGTAAGAAAAACAAGGTTTTATCAGTTCTTAAATTAAAATAACTTGGTCAAGAATATATACTGATACCAATGCCAGTCTAAGTAAATTGCAATTTGATCCTGACCTAGTAGGAAAAAAAATGAAAAGATGTGCTTGGAAATTTGAAACAATCCACACCCTTGTTTATAGGAACTGTTGTTGAAACTTAATACTTTTTCATTAATTTTATTATTTTGAAGGTCTGACCTTTTAGGCCTCTGACAGAATTCAAAACACAAATGCCAGTGCCTCGTATAAAAAGGCCTTTGCTGTCAGGAAATCTAGTCAAAATTTGACTTCTTCCAAGAGATTTAGTCATCCCCATTTTGAAGAGTATCTCCCAGTTCTATAACTTTGGGATGTAGTCAAAGTTAAGTACTTAAATAATAGAAATGTATTTATTGTGTACCAGAGGAGCAAAGGAACAAAAGACAGCCATTGTCCTCATTTTCTTATTTAAAATGGAGGTAGCTTTATCCACATTTAGGGAGAAGTCAGTTGAAAAAAATAAAGGTAAAGAAATAACAACAGCCTTTGACATGAAGATGTGTCAAATGACTCAATGAACTCAAGTAAGGGGAGAGAGTCAGGACCTGAGAGAGACAAGAGACAAGTCTTTATGACCCAGAGCAGGGCGTTTGAGTAATAAACTTTGAAAAGTAAAGACGAACTTAAACCCCTGTGGTTCAGCTTCATGCTTCAGCAGCGCTTGCCAGCCGCTCACAGAGTGAACAAACCTATTACTTGTGGTGGTTAATGCCCTTCTCCTCCTCCTGGTTTGATTGAGTTTTCCTCGTTCTTTTGTAAAATGCTCCAAGTTATCATTTGGCTGTGCAAGTCACATTTAAATTCAGAATGATGGGTCTTCTTCATCTAGTGGTCTCGGCTAGTACAGACATATCTGTTCTGTCAGAAAAGGCACAGGCCTTTTTCCAAGGGAAAGTAGTTGAGGACAAGGAATCTAATTATATTTCTTCTCAAAAAAATCAACATATGTGCTGTTACTGTGCATATCCTTGGGTAAAATAAGTCCAACTTGGATTGCATGAATGTATATGAATAATAATAGTTACAGCCTCTTACATGTACAGTTAAGTGCCATTGAGTTGATTCCAACTCATAGTGCCCCTGTAGAGGATTTCAAAGGAGCAACTGGTGGGTTTGAACCGCCAACCTAGAGGTTAGCAACCCAGTGCTTATCCTACAGTGCCACACCAGCACTCCCTTACATCTATATGTTGCTATTGTTAAGTGCCATCATGTCAGAATTGACTTAACAGCAAGAACAACAGGGTGTTTGTTGTTATTGTTGTTAGGTGCCATTGAGTCTGTACGACAGAGCGAAACACTACCTGGTCCTGGGCCAACCTCACAATTGTTGCCACACTTGAGCCCATTGATGCTGCCATTTTGCCAATCCATCTCGCTGGGGATCTTCCTCTTTTTCTCTGACTCCCCATCTTACAGAACATGATATCCTTCTCCAGCGACTGGTCCCTCCTGACAATATGTCCCAAGTATGAGAGATGAAGTTTGGCCATCCTAGCCTCCAAGGAGCACTCTGACTGCACTTTTTCCAACACAGATCTGTTGTTTCTTTTGGCAGCCCATGGCACTTTCAATAGTCTCCTCCAACACCATAACTCAAAAGCATCAATTCTTCTACAGTCTTCCTTATTCGCTGGTCAGCTTTCACATGCATATGAGGTTTTTGAAAATACCATGGCTTGGGTCAGGCACACCTTAGTCCTCAAGATGACATCTTTGCTCTTCAACACTTTAAAAAGATCTTGTTCAGCCTGGAAGTCCGTCTTCTGCCTATAACTGATTGGAATACCTAAAATGGGGCTACCACTTGCCCAATGAAGGAGGCTTCCTGCACAGCCTCTGCATTGCATAAGACCATAGGTGGAATCCTGAACCCCATCCAGAATCTTCTGAGGTGGGAAATCTCCACATGAAAGCACAAGCAGACCAGCCTGGAGCTCCTAGAAGAACAGAAGATACTTCTTGAAAGAAAGACCAATAGGAAAAATACAAAACAATAACGGCAGTCCAGCTGATTACAAGAACAAGCAATTTGCTCATCCAGTAGACATCAAGGCAAGTGGTCGGGTCCCCTCAGGGCAAACCCCCTTCCAAGACTAAGATTCAAGGGGAATATACGAGCAGACATGCCCTTTGACTGGTGACCATGTTGGTCACCAATAAAAGGGAGTGAGGGAAATACAGCAATGAAGCTACGAGCTAAGTCCTAACACGTTCAATGGACTCCTGTGAACCTGGATGGAGACCTGGTTGGCCAGCAGTATTGTAAGACGTGGGGACTCCTCTGCGCAGAGACAGTGACATAGCCACAGAGGACTAAAGTGGAGAGTTAAGCGTCCACACCCACACTTGCAGACAATACCCACTTTACCTGGATTCAATGGCTGGATGATCAGAAATCAACTAGAAGAAGAAAGAAGAGGAAAAAAAGAGTAATCTGATACAATTTGATGAACTTGACCTACACCTATGGATGCAGTAGCTCAAATGAGGGAATAAATCTTTATAGCAAGGATCATTCCCACCCCCTTGATACACAGGGTAGGCTGGGATAGGCAACTTGGACACCGGTTACCCAAAATGGGGAAGGGGGCTACAAAGGCAAGAAGCGACTGGCTTACAGGCTTTCAAGAGGGAGCCTAGATCCAGAGGGCATGGAGGAAGGTAGAATCTTCACTGAGTAGTGTCTAATCTGTCAGTGCGTGACTGATGAAAGGAGATGGGGATAGCACTCACGTGGTACAATAGTGAATAATTGTTATCAGAACTGATTGTGAGGGTTGATAATGTAAATGTAGACGTTTTGTAGCAAAAGGAGGGGAGTGATTGACTTTGCAGTCTAGGAGCGGAGGTCCCTGGGACCATCAAGGGAGAAGAGCGGAGTGTGGGACCCTACCCAGAGAAAGAGTGATGCCAGAGATGGAGGCAGAGATGATGACGTGGAGAGATGGAGTGGCTGGGGACTCTAGACCAAGAGAGGGAAAGGGGCTGTGTGCTGACAACTGGGGGGTGGTGGGCAGACTTGTTGGGTATATACCCTTTGGTTGGTTGATGATGCATGGAGGGGATTGTAACCACGGCAATGAAATGATATACAATCGGATGAATGTAAAGGTAATGTTCTCCCATGTAAACTATCACGTAATTCAAAATGTTGTTGTTGTTGTTAAGTACCGTGGAGTCAGTTCCGACTCATAGTGACCCTGCACAGGGTCTCCAAGGTTGTAAATCTTTATTTACAACCTGATGAGGGAGCAGAACACCTCATCTTTCTCCCGCAGAACCACTGGTAGTTTCGAACTGCTGACCTGAGGTTAGCAGCCCGACTCGTAACCACTATGCTACCAGAGCTCCTTTAAATTCACAATAAAACATAAAAATAAAAAAAAAGGTTTTGTGCAGCAGATTCAGTCCCAAAATTAAAGTAACGTGGTCAAGAATATATACTGATATCAATGCCAGTCTAAATAAATTACAATTAGATCCTGACCTAATAGGGGGAAAAAAAGGACTCATAGCGATTCCATGTAGAGTTTGCAAGAAGCGGCCAGTGGTTTTGAACCACCAGCCTTGTTGGCAGTCCAGTACTTATCCTACAGTGCTACACCAGGACTCCCAATAGTATATAAAATAGGTACTACATGCATTTTATAGATGAGGAATCTGAGACTTAAAAACTTTCCCATATCACCCAGCTAATCAGTCATGTTGTGGCAACTCCTGTAAGTTTTATGTTACATCAGAGCTCGCCAGTTTGAACTTGTCTTTAAATAAGCCCAGTGACTTGGGTGAAATTGATACTAGGTAAACGGTATCTGGGTGAAGATATAAAGAAACTAAGTGATTTTTAAAAAATCCAGTTCAATTTAATATATTTCAATGACATCACTTAACAAACTTCAAACCAGTGCTTCTTCGGAGAAGAGTACAATTGGATGACTTGGTACAACAGGCCTTTTTGCTGCACTAAATTAT